ATATATATATATGTAGATACACATATTTCTATGTATACACATTATATGTATATATATATATAAGTTGTGCCAGGATTTCACTTTCGAGTTCGTGGACTCAAGAAGCCGACAAGATCTACAACACAGACCCATGTCAGCTGGAGCAGTTCTGGACAGTACCGAGATTGTTGGTTGGATGGGACCCTTCATGTCCGTTTGCATGTGCAGAGAAACCAGATTTTGTGGAACATGGGCGCCTTCGCAACGATCGGAGAGGTGGCAGAATGCGATTGGCCACACTGTCGACAGGAGAATCTACAGAATGCGGCCACCCTGCTCAGATGGAACAGCCAGACAGCACTCAGGTGGTACACAACATTACCACGATCCTCCTCAGACACAAGGCCTCCCTTGAGAGCCTGGCTGTGGACCGAGAGTTCATGATCTTCATGAACCCTAAGGGTCCCAAGTACTTAATAATCATATACTCTCCCAAATATTAACCTAGATAACTACCATCCGCAACCAAAGTACCTGATTGTTGGGTCCCTTGGACCCTTAGAGTAATATAGGGCCCTGAATGACTAGAATTCTGGTTTGGGGGCTCCTTTAAAGGGTTCCTTAAAGGGTTCTGTAAGGTCCTTTGGACCCTTAGGGGAATGGCGGACAGGGATCGCCACTTCCTCAACTCATCCGCGCCTCATAGGAGGGGCACCGGCTTGCCGAAGCTAGAGCTCGGCCAGCAGGCTGCCAGTCAGGTTTACCCAAAGGGTCCAAGTACCATTATAGTAGGTACTTAGTAGGTATTTGGGCCCCGAAAGTATATATTATACTAGTACTTGGACCCTTTGGGTTAGTTTTTGGAGTTTAGCGGTTCAGAGGTTTAGGGTTTCGGGGTTTAGGGTTTGGAGTTTAGGGGTTCGGAGGTCTACAGGTTTTAGGGGTTCTGAGGTTTATAGATTTAGGGTTTGGGGTTTAGGGGTTTAGAGGTTTGGGGTTTAGGGTTTAGGGGTTTGGGGTTTGGGAGCTTAGGGGTTTAGAGCTTTAGGGGATTAGGCTTTAATCCTAAACATCGGCTAGGAGGGTTCATGAGAAGTCGCCGGGGTTAGACTGTCCTTGGACGTTCTGAGCCATAGTAGTCCGTGTCTAGCGTTTAGAGTTTAGTTTGGGGTTTAGGTGTCCAACCCCAGACCGTTCTGTAATCCCGAAACCCCAAGCCCCTAAACCCCCAAACCCCTAAACCCCTGAAACCTTAACCCTAACCCTTAAACCCCCTAAACCCTAAACCCTAAACCCTAAACCCTTAAACCCCCTAAACCCTAAACCCTAAACCCCTAAACCCCTAAACCTCTAAAGCCACCTGGACTGAGACCCTGAGCCGGGATGAGGTTCTTCAAACCTCCCAGTTGTACCCTTTAGCCCTTTTTGTTTTTGGGGCCCCTTATTAAACCCAAAGAGTAGGAACAAGGGTGCCCTATGCCTTATTGTTAGGGCCTAGTGGGGAACCTAGATGAGGTTCTTCAAAACCTCCCATGACTACGGCGTCCACATCCCCTGCCATGCGGGGCAGAGCTTTCAGGCAAGGTTGCGCTAGCGTCCTAAACCCGGAACTCTAGACCCTTAAACCCTAAACCCTAGTGGTTTTTGAGGTTTATGGAGATTTGGATCTAAACCCTAGTGTTTGTTGAGGTTGATGCTGATTTGAATTTATGACCCTAGTTTTTTTTTTAACGTTTCTGGAGATTTGGCTTTAGGACCGAAACTGCCAGGGTGGGGCCCCCTTCTGAGGGCAGTAAGCCGCTTCTATGGTATTACATTGAAAGGAAATCAGGACGATAGAAGGGATCCCACGAAGAAACAGGGTAATGGGTCTAGGTTTTGTCGTATCGGGGTATAGAAGTGTAGGGTTTTTAGGGTTTGCGCTGTAGCAGTGTAGGGTGTTTAGGGTTTGGGTTTTAGGGTTTAGGCCTTAAGATGTCAGGTGCAGGCTTGTAGGGGCCCTCTTACTTGGAGGCGCAGGGGACTTAGTAAGTAGGTTATAAGTAGGGTTATAAGTACCCTATAAATGGAGTTACACCAATCCCAGAGGGTCCATGTGTTCCCAGGAGCATTACTTTGGAAAGTCTTCCAAATGGGAGTACTTGGGGTCTAAGTGGCTAAGACCGTGCAGAGGGCGTTCTGCGGTGCTGGCCCGAGGTGTCCAGACTGACAAGGGTCCGAAATGTAGTGAATCATGAGAGTCTGCAACATGCCTCGTCCGGACAAGGGTTGTATGCTCGCAACACACAGGAATTCTGGATTCAGGTGGCTTGCAGACAGGCGTTTCGGGTGTAACAAGTATCTCGAGGTCAGTCTTCTTTTTGTGTCACTTTCGCAATGGGACTCCTTCGTGCTTCTGTTCTTCGCCAGCGGACGGGTGCGCCCAGTCCATGTTTGATGGGTTGCCTTGATCAGCTGAAGCCGCGCATCTGCAAGCTTCTGTTGATATGTTGGACATGGCTCGCGGCATGTGATTGCTGGCTTGGATGAGGGCAAGTGCTGTGATGAAGTTTTGCCTCGAGCTCCAAGTTAGGGTTGTAACTGCGTGTGGCAAGCCATGGCTTTTCTTTCGGAGCCTGATGCCAGTGGGGTTAAGCATCTGTATGAACCATTTCGCCTCCATGTGAATGCAGCCTGACTTGTTTCATCGGCTTGTGAGTGAATTTGCAAGCAAGTAATGTGTGTATAGCTTTGTGTGATTCTGGTGCATGGATGAGGAGACTGCAGAGCGCATCTATCACGTTGTGAACGGGTTTGTGCAGAAGCACATGATGCCCCAGATCATGTCAGATTCCGATACTTGACAGGCTTGTCTGATCATGATGTGTATTTCTGCCTGACACGAACTCGAGGACAATATTAGTCCTAGCATGTGCATGTGCCCAGGAAAGGAAAGTGGTGATGTGGGATTCCAGCCGGAGTGTTGCAGCCTGCTTGCAGTTTCCTTATTAGGATGTGTGTTGACGCATGGCTGGAGATTGCTCATTACAATAAGGCATTCTTGCAGTCATCATGATGGTTCGCGCCGATGAGGTCTTCCTGGTGTACCTTAGATTGTATCACGGATCAAGATAAGGTTCACCAGGACGACCTCATCGGCGCGAACTATTGTTTGGTGAAGGAGTTCTTGATCCAGCTAGGTGGGGAGCCGACCCCTGCTGTAGCCGACTTCCAGGTACTTTGTCTGCAAGTTCGCACAGAAAGGGAAGGAGGGAGGGAAAGAGAGAGAGAGAGAGGAAGGTGAAGGGAGAGCTGTCACTAAAGAAATAACCAAGACAGACATACAGGTGTGTGAGTCAGTGGGTGTGGTGATGAGTGTGGGAGGGCGGGAGTGGTTTGTTGCATTCGAGGCTGCCTTTGGCCTGCTGGCGGTGTGCCTATACCCGGGTGCGCAATTTGCGATGAAAGGTGGAAAAGGCAAAATCCGAGGGTGGGCTGAGAATGAAGCGGCTATCCTGAAGGCCTTGATTGCATACGTCGTCCGGTCAGAGAAAAGGACTATGTGCTCCCGCTCACAGCGCATGTTGGTTCTCAAAAAAGTTTTGGCTCTGAAGAGACACGTCTTGGAAGCAAAGGTGGCTGACACTTGGATGAACCTGTGGACCCGATCAATGTGTAAGACATGAGCCTGAAACCAGGCCGATGAAAACAACATAAAGAATAATGCCAACAAATCCCTTGCTAGACTTAGGCTATTGCTGGGCCCTCCCCTGTGCGCCGTTGCCACAAACATGTTTCCAACCTTCACCCTGAACTTTAAAGCAACAAAGCCTCAGGCTCAACCCCTAACTTCGATCTTATAAACCCTACAGCCCAGGATGTTCCAGCTGCAGCACCTTTGGTTGTTCAGGAAAGCCGGAATGAGCCAGAATCCCTCTATCAAGAACCCCCAGCTGATGATGCTGTTGATATGGTGAGCCGTGGTCTGTGGGAATTCCCAGAGGACTTGGAGTGTGACAGTGCAGAGGACGGTTTGTTTTAATCTTTAGCCGCCTTTGTGGAAGCAATCTGGAGGATTTGGAGTTAAGGATGTATGGTCTAGGGTGCAAGTCCTGAGGTTGTAGGATTTAGGGGTGTAGTATTTCATGGGTGGGAGATAATACCTGCAGGAGTCGAGCCCCCCGAAGCTCGTGGACTCGGATAAGTTGCTGACGCCAGCTCGCTTTATCCAGGGCCTTGCTGTGAAGACCCCGCAGGAGGACTCTAGATATAGGAAAGCACCGTGCGCCTGTACATGTAGAGCATGTGAAATATTGCAACGAGCCCAATCAAGGAGCAGGTGCAGTCTCAGCTTCGTGGAACGATTCAGAAGATGGAGTCGGACAAGCAGGTTGAAACGGAAGCTAAGCTGTCCAGAAATCTCGGGCCTCTGTTTGATGAGGCTCTGGGTGGACAAAATCACAGAGTGTTTGTGCATGAGATCGTGCATTCCTTTGTCGAGGCTGTGGCTACACCCATCAAGGCAAGTGTGGCTTCAAGCCCAGGTGCAGCTGGTCCCGCTGGTTCCACACCCACCACTGTCCCAGACAACAGTGGGATCCCGAAGACACCCATCAAGTCCCCTGTGGGCCCGAGCGGTCCCGTTGTTGATTCCGCACCCGATGCTGTCCCAGACAACAATGTGATCCCGGAGTCCACGCCCATCAAGTCCCGTGGGCGCTCGAGCCCAGGGGAAGCTGGTTCCTGTGCTGGCTCCACACCCACCACTGTTCCCTTCGAAGTTGTACTCCCTACACCCGTCAAGCCTTCTGCACACTCGAGCCCTGCAGATGGTGCCACTCCCCCCACTGTTCCGTTCAATGTCGTGCTGCCAAACTCAGCAGATTGTTGGGGGACTCCGGATGTGGGCAAGTCACCTGGCCCTTCGACTGCAGAAAGGGATGCAGAGATGGACCGTGTGTCGGAACCTCGTCTGCACATTAAATGACCATGAGTTGTTGAGCTTGTACCTGTGCTTAGTTGGGGCATCTGAGATCATGCCTGACCGAATTCCGATTTCTGATCTTCCGGATACTCTATTTCAGGGGCCCCAACGACGAGCACATTTGATTCCCGAGGATGCAGTCTTGAAGCTACCGAGCTTTCCCAAGTGGATTCAGAAAGGTGCTGCAGCAGGTGCCAAGGAAGTCCCTGCTCCCCCCAAGAGCCTCATCTCGGAGCAGAAGACTGTTCGGCAGGAGCTTGCTGATGCCACATGTCATGGAATCATACAGCACCGGGTTCGGTCCGAAAGTGTGTGCGATTTGTGCCAGTTTCCGTGTGCATATGTGTGATTTTTGATTTTCAACACATAGGCTAATTGTAGTGCACGTGCAGCACAGGCAGAGTTGGTCAAAGCTCATGAGAAGTTGCAGAAGCGCGGGGAAAGGCATGATGATTCTGAGGAGCCGTGCCGGGGACGAGGTAAGTCTCGTGGCCGCGGGCGTGGCCGCGGGCGTGGCCGCGGGCGTGGCCGCGGGCGTGGCCGCGGGTGTGGCCGTGGGCGTGGCAGAGGGCGCGGCAGAGGGCAAGCGGAGACTGCTACTGCTGGGTCAAATCAGAAAGGCCAGGCTAAGGCAAGTGGCAACGCCAAGGCTAAGGCAAGTGCCAAAACCAGGGCCAAATCAAAGGCAGCAGCAAAGACGAACTCAAAGCCGAAAGCTTCCAGCAGCAAGCCGACCCAGCAGCCCAAACTTGCAGATCAGACCCCAGTCAAAAGAAAGCAGCTCGATGTTGGAGCAAAGGCAGTGTGCACTCCTGTGCCCCGGAAGCAGAGGGGATCCTTCCTGACTAAGTCAGCACGCAAGCGCGCAGATCAGCAAGCCCGCAAAGAGCTGGCTCTTGCTAACATTGCTATGTTGAGGGGGCTTGGTTTGGAAGACCTCAGCTTTCCTGAGGAGGGCTTTGACAAGCAGTCTTGGACACTCTATGGTCCTGAGTCAGGGGCCAAAGGTGCGATCAATCCTGAGGAGGTCAGCAGCGTCCAGGTGGTGGCAGGCCGAAATTTGTTCTATGTGACGAAAGCTCGACTCCCGGAAGCGCTCGAGGGTCATGGTGTGGTGCTTTGGTGGCATTAAAACTACTAACACAGTCACTGTGATTGTTCAAGTCCGCATCCTGTGCTGCAGATCGATGGAAAGAACGGTGCAACCATTGGCTTTAACATGTACCCGACTGTGAAGATTGCGTGGGCTGGCTGCAATCTTATGTTTGTAGGCATGACAGATGAGTACACTTAGTAGTGAACATGTTGCTAAGGTGGGATGTGGCCAGGGCAATGGCTGGCTGGATTTCCCCTACGCTGGAATCTCATCTCTACAGTTGGCTAGATACATATTATGTGAACGCCTCCCCTGGCAGCCCTGTCAACTCTAGCTTTGATGACTCTAGATGGAAGATCATGAGCCAAGGTATCCATGCGCTTGGCAGCTTATGCGAAGGATGCTGCTAGTGGTGACATGTGACCACTTCTTTTCAAGATGAGTGGTGCTTCGATATCACTCTGGGTGACTGTGTATGTGCGTGCTGGGCTGTATACCCTGAAGCATAGACCTTATATAGCTTAAAGGCCCTAGACCTTAAGCTAGTACCCTGAGCTTGCCAGTGGTCTCTGGTTTCCACTAGACTGCAGCGTAGCTCCATAAGCCCCCACCCGATTGCCGCCCCAACGAAAGCACATGCAGCGGTGTCACATTTTCTGCCAGATGGCTCATGAGCTTGACCATGTCGGTCTCGTCACTCTAGTGCCAGCACCCAGTGCCAATCATTCCGTGAGTTGGAAAAAATGATGTAGTGCAATGCATCTTAGCTGAAGCTTTGCCTGGTTGCAATATAGTCAGGGTAGTTTTTTCTTTGGTCTGCGCAGGTACTTCGGCAAATGTGCAGACGCCGGACCACCTGCTGCCACAAGGATCCAGACCTAGGCCTTCGACAGCTTCCAATATCCGAGGTGCTCCATCCCATCACCCGAGCTGTGTTGCACTAGGGCTCAGAGACTTATAATAAGGCCAGGGTTTCCCCTTGGGGTATAATATACTGCCTTCCAACACTTAAATACTTGACCAGGGGCAGGCTTCAAAGTTGCAGGGGAGATTCCGGGGGGGGGGGGGGGGGGTGTTTGAGGAAGCATTCGTAGTTGTGCAAGCAGGATGTGTTATTCTCAATCCAAATTGCTGTGCAGCTGCCTGCATCTGAATGAAGTGGTTTCGCAAGCTGCTCTGAACTGGCTCCAGGAATGTGGTATCCATGCATAGGTGTGCCTTCAATGACTATGACACTATATGTGCTAGGACACTCACACATAATTATCTGCGTTCTGTTTCCTGATTCTAGTCTATATACCGTATATAGTTTTTGCTGCAATGGAGGCTCCTCGCAAGGCCATTGGTATGACACGGGTGCAGGTCTGTGTGTTGCTGGCCTTGGGGGCCCCGCCAATCCTGTTGCTCGGTATGTACATGTTTAAAGCACCACGCATATGCTGCACATGGACTCTTCGCACAATCTGCGTCTGAGGATTCATGTGTTGGATTATGTTGCAGCGACTGTTCCCATGCACACGTACCGAGCCCTCTGGCTGAATGCTACATGAACTGTGTGTGCTCGGACTATGTTAGCCACGACATTGCTGCATAAGTCGACAACATGTGTGCCTCTAGGACTTGGCGTGCTTTGAGATGTTCGCTGGTGTCGCAAGTGTGACAAGAGGTTTCCGACGCTCAGTCCCAATGGGTTCATATGATCAAGATGTAGTTAGTGGTGGCAGTCATGAAGATCCCGGCTGATTACCTAAGGAGCTCGGAAGCTGCGAGCGCAACTCGGTTCCATTGGTGAGACCTTTTGTACAATCACACAGTCGATCCACTCCATGATAGAATTTCCCTGCTGCCATAACCCCATCAATTAAACCTCTAAACCCTAAGCCCAAACCCTAAACTTCTGAGGCAAAGTTTCGAGAGGGATGATGACCCCGTCTACCAAGACATACTTCGTCCCTCTGGCTTTCTCCTGGCGTGTCGTGGGGTTTTGCGCCTGCAAGAACATGCTCTACTTTATGCAGGATTGCCGTGTGGCAGCTTTAGCTTTATGTCCTCAGGCTCCCATGCAAGAACCGAAAGTGAGCCATGGGGCAACGAGTCCCGGGTGTTTGTTGAGGAGGGCAATGCTATTGCGAGCCGCTTTTTTCTACTATGCCTTGTTGCAGTATGCCGCAACACCAAATGGTTCATAGAGAATCCGCAAAGCAGCAAACTGGTTTGGTTTCCTCCATTGACATATCTCTATCAGCATCCGATTGGGGTGCAAATGGCCAGATGGCCCGAGACTTAATTGTTGAGGGTTCAGGGCGGGAAGACAGCAGAGCTACTCCTAGTGGGAAATTTCGAGTTCATGCTCCAAACCAGAATCAGGTGGATGGGCATGTATGGTGGCTTTTCACCAAAGCCACAGCTGGCCGTCGGGACCGTGACTCCTGCCTGCACTAATGCAAACTATGCCATCCAGTGGTTTCCTACAAACAGCAATCAGTAAGGACGAAGAACCCAGAGCGAAATCGAACCCACTCAGAAACGGTTTCTATCCACCCTGCCTAGACCCTCATCATGAAACCTTCTTGCTGAAGTTGCAATTTCCAGAAATTAGGCCCCTTTTGTAGACTTCTGCCTCTCCACCTGTAGGTTGACACAAAACAGGGTGCATGCTAATTATACTAACCCAACATGATGTGGATGTGGACCTAGATGATGAGACCATGTGACTAGACTCAGTACCAGGACTCAGACACAAGTGCACCATATGCTCACACAGAGGATAATAATACTGCAAAGTGTGCATGTATGTATATGTATGTTTATATGTATGTTTGCTTTGTCTAACTCGTTTTTTATTTAATATATAATTAAATTTCACCATTAACACAACTGGTTGTAAGAACTCGGGTGGCCTCATGTCATATATATATATATATATACTATCCCAACATGTACAGCTACTTTCATATATACATACATACTCACAGTTGTATACACATACATTCATGGATACATGTGCTTGTGCCTGCATGCATGCACACATACACATACATTCATGCATCGGATGTGTATATCTACATGTGCACATGTTTAAGTGTGCATATATGTATATATATATATAGGCATGGCATGCATAGAGATGCACTTATACCTGCATGCACGGGTACATGCATACACATGTATGGGGGCCATAACTTAGTACACAGACAGGTCCTACATACATACATACATGCATACATACATAGATACACACACATACATTATACATACATGCATACATATGTACATGTTGCACACGGAATTCTGCACATGTGCTTGTGTATTATACATACACATATTGACTCTGCATGCACATACACATATGTCACATCTACGTATATGTCTATATATATCTATATTTATAGTTGGGCAGAAATGTTATGCACACATTCATGCACATACACACATACATGCTCAGGTTCATGTGGGACAACCGATTGACATCGGAGTACTTTGAACACACATGTGAGGCCTTGGATGCACTCTCTGCAGATCAAGATGACGGAGCACATGCGAAATCAGCTTGCTGAAAGGCAGGTGGCAGCTGGCCGTGAGATCCTGAAAGTTAAGTATCGGAATGGTGTGAGAAAGGTGACAGGGGGGAAGCACCTCAAAAGCACCCAAAGCTACCCCCTTGCCTTTGGACATCGAGTGGCCCGTCTACACACCCAGTGGAAAGATGCTCGACTGCTGCTAGTTGTAAAGGCGAGTCTTCCACTACAGAAACCCTAAACCTTTTCAACCCTAAATCCTAAACCCCGGGCCTTAAACCCTAAACCCTTACTAGAGGTCGGGTGATTAAAGCCTCTGATTCTCAGGACACTGTCCAGCTGCCAAGCTCACGCCAAGCGCTGCTGGCCATCCTGCAGGAAGGGTGGAAGGACATTTCTGTGGGCAGGATAGATGGGTATGAACAGTGGCATTAATTGGAACAGTTCTGTTCACCGTTTACGCTACATTCAGCTTGACAACATGACCTGTTGGCTCCTGACGCTACATGTATATCTACTTGCTGTTTGTGCTATCCCAAGCCTATCCCAGGAGCCACCTGCTGGGTTGTGGCATCGAGCTCATTTTGAGGATCTCGTTGTGTTGATGAAGCAAGCTGCTGCTCAAGGCTTGTATGTACCAGATACAGCTGTGCCATTTCAGTTGCAGCCCTCACAAGAAGTTTTCGAATCATACCGGGCAAGCCTTAATCTGGGAGTTTAAGGAAACATCGGGCAGGGGCCCCTACCCAAGTGAAGCCAAACCTTCATACAGTTAGGGTGCACCCTCAACCTCCCCTGCAAAAGTGCCTAGGGAGAAGTTGTCAATGCTACAGAATCGTCACGCAACCTAAATCTCTTGCGCCGGAGCTACCAACATCCTTTACCCAACAGTTCTTGCAAGGTGATGAAATCATATATCTGACAGATATCCAGCACTCCTGATCCAACCATGAAGCCAGATATATAGATTGTAGTAGCCGAGTCCTATATATGTGTCAGTCATATGTAGTAGTAGCATGTCTGAAACTTTGTTGCACTCAACACTGGGGCAGTTAATTGATCTGAACCACTAGTCCTATCTCGCTGAGGGTTTCCCAGGTTATCTGCTAGCCAGTACCATCAAACCAGTTGAGCCCTGATGTGACCTGGCCTCCCAGACCGCCATGCTGTGTTTTCCAGCATGCCCAGGACCTCGACAGGTGTGCGTGTGTGTGTGTGTGTGTGCCGGTGTGTTGCCAGCCATGTAAGCCATAGCTGCTGCTTTCAGTGTCCGCCATCTTGAGATGGGTTTAGCTTACTACATCCTGGGCTCGGGTTGTACATATTCTAAGCTCTACAATAACCATAAGTGTCATGGTTTGAAGGGAATTTTGGCAGTCTGAGGCAATGCACGAGTTCGTAAGGCTAGTGTATGTAAGCTTGCCAGGATATGTTTGTGGAAGGATCTGTGCCTAAGCCTGGGCCTGGGCATTGTACTTATCTCTACAAAATTAAAGGATGGTGACTGACCGGCAGGTAGCTCAAGCCAGGTCAAGGTGCACTCGGATGCTACTGACTTTCTGCTGTCTATTCTTCTGAAGAATTACAACCCCAAATCCCCAAACCTCAACCCAAATCCTGAATATACAGAAGCCCAAGCCCGGAGCCCTAATTTCCCCTTAACTCAAAAGTGTTAAGCACTAATTCCATAAGCCCTTGAAGCTGCAGCAGGCCTGTCCCAGTTGTGAGTGCTGAGACTCTAAGTCCCTAAACCCTAAACCTGTGACCCCAAAACCGCAACACCCAGGTTTCGATTGTGTAACTTGGGGCTGTGCCACAGCTCGCTGCATGTGCAGTATCGACCTGCTGGAGCTAATTCACCATGGTTCCGGGTAGACTCCTTGGGAATTACACCGATGGCTGATTGGGGTTCGTTGTTTATGTGGGGTCGTGTTTGTCCAGTGTTGATTAACAGGCGACAGGCTGCAAAGGCCGAGGCTTCTGGCTCAGGGTCCATAGTATCTACGCCAAGAGTTTAGGGTTTAGTGGTGGTCAGGTCTTCCTCGCAAGAACTGTCGTAGCAAGTGTTGTGTTTCGGGTACATGGCGCGGAACCTGCTAATTAAGGTCCTTGCTGCGATAAGAATGCCCACAAGCTTGGCCCCGGCATGATCAATGACAAGCCCACACGCCTCGATCCTTAAAGAGTTGTAGTGTTAGTTATTTGGAGGCAGGTATCCCTCTAATATCCCGAGGAGTCATCTAGGTGCAAGCTATGGGGCAGCTGCCAGATAATAAGGATGCTAGTGGGATACCCCAGGGGCCCTAATTATAAACAGCCACAAATAAACCCTGGTCAAACCCTTTAAACCCTGAACCCCTAAACCCTAAACCGACCGGTCAATGCAGCAGACCCCTTCAGGCCAAATTGCATGTACTTGCAAAAGCTATATTTTGTAACTTATGAACCCGTAAGCAACCAGGGAAACTAGAGTACACACCGATACTACTCATGTCTTGAAGCATCTATTATACACTAGATCCAAGCAAAGGCCAGCAGCATAGGGTCCAGCCCCTTAAGCCTCCCAGAAACTGTGCTGATTCTCTTGAACCCGAGAGAAAAGAAGATCCTGTCGAAATCGCAAAACATCAAATTAAAGGATTCCAGCACCAAACCCCACTGAAAGCAGCTAAACTAAGATTATTCTGCTGAGACCTACCCTTAATCACCTCTTGAAATCCTAGTAATAAACCACAGAACAGGCAGGGGGAAATAGAGTATATCTAGCTCAGACTGAATATAATAATGCTTAGAGGGAAGACGGTGAAGGTTCTGGGTAGGACAATCCCCGAAGCATATATTAGGAGGTGGGTCCTAATATTGAGGGATCCGACAAACCTTAGGGAAAACAGTGTAAATCGCATAATTCAACACGAAACCCCGGAAACTACGTGTATCCTGCTGAGGCCACCCAAATAACCCTAGGGAAAGCATGAAAAATACGGTGTTTCCTCATACAAACTGCTTGAAGACCATAGAAAACCTGTATAAACTCCTAGAATCTAGGTAAAACCTCCACAGAAATGCGGATCTGGGCTCCT